CTGTCAGAGGCCATAAGAAGATCATTTGTAACCTTCACTAAAGCTGTTTCTGTGCTGTGATGAGCTCTGAAACCTGACTGAAACTCTTCAAATAAACCTCTGCAGATGATCTGTTAGCTGTTTGACAACTACTCTTTCAAGGATGTTTCAGATCCACCAAAACAAAAAAAGCTGAGCACAGAGATAATGCTCAGTTCCTCATGCCTCAGTGCACACTTCCTCCTGCACAGTGATATAACTTGCGGATGTAGACTGTAGAAAGAAAATAGTTCCAACGTGAAGCAGCTCACCGGAGCGTCTGTGGATCACTTCCATTTTTATCAGTTTACTTTGTTTTAACTGATGTATTTAATCTAACATGACTTTACATACACATTCATCATTTATTATTCATCTAATGGTTCGACTTTTTCTACTTGGACAGAAACTTACATTCATTTCGTGTATGTTTTGTTTTGTATGAAATGATCTTCACTGCATATCTGATTTGTTTTGTTGGTTTTTGTCTTTTTATCAGTTTGTGATCTCAAACAACAAAGATTTTAAAAAAATTAGCAGCTCGACAGGACGGAGCAACCAGAGTTTTACATTTATGGTGAACTGTCCCTTTAGGTAAACAGGATACAGATTTCTCCTCCTCCATCCACCCTCGCCTGCCTAGGTACCTGGTGATGTCGTAGACCATGAGGGCCCCGGCGGCCCCCCTGTAGTAGGACCTGGTGACGGCCCTGAACCGCTCCTGACCCGCCGTGTCCCATATCTGCAGCTTCACCTTCTGCCCGTGGACCTCCATGATCCTCGTCCCGAACTCCACCCCAATGGTGTGAGGACAGTCTGCCATGACTGCAGCGCACACACACACAGGAATTGGACGGGCAGTGGTCACCAACAGGTAAGTAAAGATAAAAATGTTTGTGTTTGTCGCTGTCTCAGGCACAAACACATGAAATCTGTTATCAGAATGAATTTCATGAAACCATCCAGATAAAATCAAACACACGAGTCGCTTTTTGTTTTTTTCCTAGCATAACAAACTGAATGCTAAAAGCTAATCTATTTACATTGTTCATCAATTCAAAGAAATCCTGTTAAATGTTTCCAAAGTTGGAGGTTTACGGTTACATCAAAATGAAGAAAAAAAAAAAAACATAAATCGATATTTATGAAGCCCGAACTTGACACTTGATCATTATTAAGATATTTATATGATAAACTAGAGCCGTGCTGTTAAACAGCTAAGACGGATTCCTAAACAACAAACTTGACATTATTAGAAAAAAGACTCTAAAAGTCAGCCTGAACTGATTTTCCGCTGCTTGCCTTTCAAAATAAAAGACCTAGAAACACAGGCTGTACCACTTTGCGCCCTCATACCCAAACAGTGGTGGTAAATTTTAAATATCCATAACTCACAATTTCATCATACATGCATAATAACAATAAAAGCCTATTCTATTCTATTCTATTCTTAAACATCAGTAAACAAAGAGAAGAAGAAAAGCAGCACTCACACTTCTTCTCTGTGAACTGATGCAGCAGACACGACTTCCCGACTCCCATATCACCTGCAGACAGACAAACACAGGTGAGGTCGGCCACCAAGGCTGACAGTGATCAGGAAACACCCGGATGAAGCGTTTTTACTCCCTGTGATTGAAGTGTTCCTGCTCATTCACCGTCCAGTTTCACTCCTGGACTTTACCAGAGCAGCGCTGCATGAGTCACAGCTCAACATCGTCTTTATTTAATATCTGCACCCGCTGCAGACACTCCACATTTACCAGCGCCAGGTTCTGCACTTCTGCAAGCTTAGTCTAGAAGGAGGGAGTTTACTGATGTGAGGGGCAGCGGTCACGGATACAGAACGGTTATTATAAACGGACTCATGCAAAGCTGCTCTGGCAGAGCTGCGGGAGTAAACACAGGAGCTGGAGCTCGGGTCACTCACCGATGATGATGTATTTGAAGATGTAGGAGTAGTTGTAAGGTGCGGCTGTCATCGTGATCCTGCGGAGAGAAAACAAAGAAATGTGTTTGGTTTAAACCGAGAACCTGAGCTCAAACACGGGGCTCCACCCTCGGTCTGAGCCCGGTCACAGTGATCCTCGGAGCTCGGTCTGAGCCTCCAAACACACCGAGTGAGACACAAACAGCTTAGAGAAGGAAGCAGCCGGCTGAGCTAGCAGAAGCTAACGCCGAGCCCAGCGTTAGCTTTAAACACCGTGACAGCCCCGCGGAGAGGAAGCTTCCATCCTCATCACACGTATGAAACGCTGACGGCTCAACCACAGGAACCCCCCGAGGAGTCCCTCGAGCCCCCCTGGAGCTCCACTCCTGGAGCTAAGTGGCTAACAGCTGCACTGCTGTCTACGCCTTGCTAACAGCTAAACGCTAACGGCAGGAGATCACTTTCTGAAGCTTTTACAGTAAAAACAACCGAATAATAAACCAATCAGACAGGAGGCGTTACACGTCGCTGTGTTTTACCTTCAGTCCGGGTGTCTATCCGACCTGTAAAGCTGCTTAAAACGCTGGTTCGCCGGGTAGTTTTATCTAACTTGATGGGTCGCTTGCTGAGCCGTCAGGAAAATCTTCTACCTCTTCCGCGACTCTTCCTCATCAAGGAGAAAAGAGGTAGTATCGCGAGACTTACAGCTTCCTACTGCCGCCCAGCGGACGAGAAGGAGATTTAGACACACCCAACCGTCCCGTTTGTAACTTTATTTATTTACATTTTTCTTTCTTTCTTTCTTTCTTTCTTTCTTTCTTTCTTTCTTTCTTTCTTTCTTTCTTTCTTTCTTTCTTTCTTTCTTTCTTTCTTTTTTAAAGTGACCCAAATTAGTTAATAGAAGCTCTTGTTTCTATAGATATATGTTACCAAATTACTGCGACAATGAAAAACACTGAAAAATGTGACGATTGTCTGCAGGTTTGCAGTCAGAAAAAGAAGGGTTCCTTTACCCTTTAACTCCTAATGGGGTTCACAGAGGTCATATGTAGTTATTTTGAAAATGTTTGACTGAAATAAACGAGCTTCTAATGTTGCAAGAAGGTCCTGAGTTAGGCTCCACCATCAGGCTGGGGTCTTTTTGTGTGGAGTTTGCATGTTCTGTCCAGGTACTCCAGCTTCCTCCCACATTCCAAAGACATGCAGTTAGTGGGGTTAGGTGGAAACACTAAATTGCCCATAGGTGTGAATGGTTGTCCTTCTCTTTGTGTTAGCCCCGTGACAGACTGGTGTCCACTCCAGTTTGTGTCGTGCCTCTCGGCCTACAACAGCTGGGATAGGCTCTACCACCCCCGCGACCCTGACAAGCGGAAGCAGCAGAGGATGGATTTTGTCGATACAGTTGGACAAATGAAAACATACATTATATTTATTGAAAACATAAACTTGGTTTAATATAAGTAAATTACAGGATATTCTCAAGTAGAAGAATAACTTATATTTCCAAATAAAAAGAGGCCTGAGTAATTTTGTAATCCAGCTGCTCTCCCTCGATTTTCTGATAGCTGTGGAATTATTATTATTATTATTATTATTGTTATTATTATTACATTAGTTTGTGGAGCATCACTGAAGAAACCCTTAAAGCCAGAATGTTAGCAGATATTTTTTCTTCTTGTGTATTTTCTAAATGTGTTTGTGTACTGGATGATAACAGTGGGCACATTGTTAAAGTGACTTTGTATTTAAGGTTTCTCTGTGTTTTTGTGCATGCCCGTGCATAATGAGAGCGCTGGCCCGCCCTCTCTCTCCTCCCTCCTGTGCTGAGGTCACAGACTCGCCTGGCAGAACTCAAACTGCTTCTCACAGAGCAGATAGAGGGAGTTCGGGGAGGAGGAAACAGGAGGAAATCTGTTTGCTGTTTGATGTTGGATTCTTTAGCAGAGATATGAGCCTGAGGATCAGCAGACACTGAGACGACCGACATGGACAAACAGAAAGGTACCGTGACCCACAACAAGTCTTACAGATGTTTCAGGAATAACGACAGAGACATAAAACTCATCCACACATGAAACCTGACGTTACCTGATATTTGTTTTTTATATTTAAAAATGTTTCACATGTATGAAATCATACACAGCATGCATGTTTCAGATGTAATCTGATTACAAATGGAGATTTACTTTGAAACTTTCCTTTAATGTGTTTAACATCCATGTATTCTTTTGTCTTTCATATCACGTGGAAAAAAATGTTAAAACTAATTGTAATAAAGTACTAACAAAGCACTCAGCAATTACCAGGGCCAAAACTTGCAGTTCCTCCAGTTTCCACCGGGGGCAGCAGCGAGTCGGTCCCCATAGACTCCCATGTTAAAACTTTACAGCAGTAATAAACACTTTTACAGCCCGATGTAAACTGTTCGGTCTCTGTAGGTATATTTGTGGTGGGTTGTATAGGTCACCTGTAAAAGGTTTAAGGTTTGCATTCTTAGGGGCGTGGCCTCTTTGACTGACAGGTGGATGGTGACGCAGGTGGCTGTAGCTGCTAGCTGTCTGCTAGCGTCACCTGAACTGGACCTTTGGACCGTGTTTGTGCTGTTGGAGCCTTTCAGAGCATTTTAATGACATCATCAGACCAATAATACAGCTGCTGTGAGGTCACTGCAGTAACAGACCAATCCAGTAAGAGAAAGTTAGGGATTCTGACTGGATGTTACTTATTAGCAAGTATCTGAGCTAGCTAGCATTACCTGATATGCAGTTTTTATGTTTATTTCCATGTTTGTCTATCATATTAATATATACACGCTGATATTTTGGCTGCTGACTCATGTGACCACTAGAGGTCAGGTGTGAGTTGTTATAAGTTGTACTATATTTATTATTTTGGGATGTTTTACGTTTGTAGTTATGAACAAATCAAACTAACCTTAGGCTTGTGTTGTATTGTGTATAAAATATTTAGATGGTGGTAATAGACTTGATTTCAAATGACTGGTTGATTAGATAGTTTAAATTCATTCATTAAAATCGGTATAAATAAACAGCAAAAAGCCATGCTGTTCTCTAACAGTTTAATTTATCTTCTGTATCATGTGAGAAACACTTTGTATATGAGCATGTATGTATTTGTGGCCAAAGCAGCTTTAAATCAAAGGAAGTGTTGACAGAAGGAAAAGGGCCATGATGCTGCTATAACTGGCTCCAGCTGAAAAGTTTAGAAAAAGCTGAAAGTGATTTAAGTTACTTTACCATGAAAACCAAACCCTAAAATTATCTGAAAGACAGGATTTCTCCTCACCGCCTGTGTGTGGGTACTTGCACAGCTATCTTTGTGGGGACCTATGTATTTATTGACTTTTTAAGGACCCTTCTGTGTTGTGAGGACGGACTCTTAAAGGCCCGTTTGTGGGTTTGGATTTAGTTTAAGGGTTCAGGTTAAAAAGAGGTTTAGGTTAGGGGGCCGTGAAAGGCCTCAGAAGGTCCTCACAATCACAGAAGTACAAACATGTGTGCAGCAGGGTGTGGAGCAGCTTTCTTTAATCTGACTGGCAAGAGAGCAGAAACATTTACATTACTGCGCTGCTGTTTCCTCAAACTGACCCGCTTCCAGCTGGAGGCTGACCACCTCCCCACTAACCTGCTGCTAACTGGGACCTGTACCCACTTTGCATTTTTATTGTTGTTTGTAACAACAAGTAACTCTGATTAGAGCAAACCAAAGTGATTTGAGAGATCAGTGTATCTAGATAACTCCCTGAAGTAACAGTACCACATGTAACGAGGTAAAAATACTCAGCAACATGTCCAACGTGTAAATGAGAAACTAAAGTATGTTCAGCTTCGTGTAACTGAAGTACAGGTGTTGCAGTAAAATGCATCAGCAGCATGTCCCCATTGGGGCTGTTTTATCTACGTTATATATAGTAGATGATGGTTTTTAAAATAGGGTCAGCCCCCCCAAGAGGTCACCAGGTCATGGGATGATTTATGGGAAACAAGTAAAATCTATTTCCTGTTTTCAGAGCTAATTTAAAGTTTTTTCTATAAATTTTGAGTAGGTCTTGTACCTCAGACTGAGCGCTACCAGGAGGAGCTGGGAAACATCAGAATACTCCTTTTAGCCAGCGATTAGCACATGAGGTCAGGAAACAATCTGACTTAATGGCAGAAAAATGTTAAAATTGTTGGTGTGGATACTTTAAAGACACAAACACACAGAAAATCTAAACAGTCTATTAGCTCAGTCTCCAGAGAGCAGCAGCGGGAGGAGGAGGAGGAAGTGATGATGATGAGGTGGAGGAAGGAGGACAGACAAGGACAGATGGGTATTTCTGATAGTTGCGTTGCTAACATACCACCGGTGTGATAAAGACTCCACAGCAGCAGGAGGATGGATTGTGACACGTTCTCCCTTACAGAATAAAAATGATGTTTTCTACAGAAAAAACACGGACGTAACCATGTGACTTCACCCATGTGGTTTCTGGGACTTTTCATAGCGTTTCGGTTGCTTCCATGTTGTGAAACGATTAGTGGTGGTGAAGCCTCACAGACAGCGATCAGCTCAGCAACACAGGGCCAAGCAGTTTGTGTATCAGGCTGTAAACATGTTTATTTCTGCTGTCAGATTATAATGTGCACGTCTGTGGGACTGCCTCACTGCTGGTGCCCCTGCTGGACGTTACAGGAACTGCATGTTCAGCCTCTGTGGGAGCTTCTTTCACAGTTTTTAAATGATGAACTAAGTTATTAGGAAAACTACCTCACCTATGTTAAAACATACCACGTATGTATTATTGTAGGGTCTACCTTACACTATAAAGCACCTCGAGGTGACTGCTGTTGTGATTCAGCGCCGTATAAATAAAACTGAATTGAATTAATTGTGACAAAGTGATTCAGGTTATGGTCGTCTAATATTACATTTTATTTGATGATCTGAGAAACAAAAGTGACAAATAGCAAAAAAAGAAACGGTAAAAACGTTTTTTCGCAGCGCTGTAAGCAGGTTTATGTAAGTGTAGATGATCTAATGCCCAACGACAGTCAATTATCGGGTATCAGAACCTGAACGAGCTCTGTGGTTCCAACGACTGCCCCCTGATTGGACAACGCTGGACAAACTGCTTCCTGGTTGGATGTAATTACTGCATAATGTTGTTAGGATATCATTGTTGTGATGGACACCATTGGTACTGTAGTGTGACTGGTTTCAGCTGGAAACGTGACTTTTAGTTTAAACTGCTGAAGCAGATGCGTCGCTGTGGTCAGTCGAGTTATTTGTTTTTGACAGATTCGTTTAGGTTATGGTTTAAGGATAAGTGTCCAGGAAATGAATGGAAGTTAATGTACTAATGATGTAAACAGGCCTGAAAGTGTGCACTGCAACATCAAAGCCCGAGACAGGAAGTAATGCAGATGGTCAGATAAACAGCGTTCAGCAACACAAACTCTTGATTCTGCGTCCGTCCAGCAGCCGTCCGTCTCTGTCTCCTTTCTGCTGTTGTTGTTCGTCTTCAGGGTTTGTGGGTGTTTGAGGAATTTGCAGCTCGCTGCTTAAACAGCAGTTTGATTTAAATCAGCATCAGAGGAGTTAATCAGGAACATTTAGCCCTCGTCTCCCACTCGGCTCACAGCGTGAATGGACTCGGCCTCTCTGTATGAATGAGCCACCGGACAATCAGCTGCTGTTTCCTCTGCATGTTTTTACATGTTCTGCTCTGTGTTGTACTGATGATGACTCAGTACAGTTTACGTCTAAACAACAACAGAAAAGCATTAAAGACTGAAAACTTTTACTTAGTTACACCTACTCTGTGTCGCTGTTTCCCATATCCTTATATAAATACTGCATCCACACACACAGATGCTAATTAGTGTTCAGAGCTTCACTTCCTGGATGGTCTGAAGCCACAGTTATTGTCAGGTAATAGCTTTAGGAAACTCTAGTCATTACTGAGGATGTCCTCCATGTCCTTAATGTGAGTCTAGTCATGACTAAAGGTTGTAAAGGTTTATTAGGAGGTTCTATTTATCTGTGAAGTGGGCTTTTGTGGTGCTAAGGGAAGTTTTGTCGCCATCGAAGAGGTTCTAGTCATCCTTTAGGAGGTCATGCTGGTCTCTGAAATCCTCGAGGTTGTGAGGTGATGTTCTACATAATAATAATAATAATAATAATAATAATGGATTGCATTTATATAGCGCTTTTCTAGGCACCCAAAGCGCTTTACAATACCACTATTCATTCACTCTCACATTCACACACTGGCGGAGGCAGCTACAGTTGTAGCCACAGCTGCCCTGGGGCAGACTGACAGAAACAAGGCTGCCATATCGCGCCATCGGCCCCTCTGGCCAACACCAGTAGGCAAGTAGGGTAAAGTGTCTTGCCCAAGGACACAACGACCTCTACAGATCTATGAGGTATTTTTCTGTGAAGGGACTCTTACATACTCTTTAGGAGGTTGAAGAGATTCTAGTTTTTCTTGAGAAGGCTGTGCTGGCCTCTGAGGATGTTTCAGACGTGCTAATGTTGGTTCTAGTAATGATTTGTGTAGTTTTGGATGGGGTTTGAGACATCTCCTAAGTGGTTATCTGTGAAGAGGGAACTTTAAGAGGTTGTGGTTGTCACTGAAGAGGTTCTATTCATCCCCTGGAAAGTTAAACTGGTGAGCAAGGGTGTTCTAGAAATCTTCATGGTGGTTGTGTGACTGGAGATCGCAGAGAGGTTCTAGAGGTCTTTTGAATGCCCGTCTGTGAGGGTGCACTTGAATAACTTTTGGGTCCCCTGTAGTAGGGGTGGGCAATATAAACGATATACGATAGAAACGATATAAATTTGGCCAACGATAGAGATTTTGACTATATCGCGATAGCGCATGTTGATGATGTCATCAAGCTGTGGCTGTTTTGGTCGAAAGCATCGCAGCGGCTACAACCATTATCATCTGCAAATTATGCTGGCGACAGTCACAGCAAAGAGATGAAGCACATTTGAAATATGGGGAAAGCCAAAAACTGCGCTTCCTCCACTTCCGTAACATTGATTCATTGATGTTGAATTCTCTGCAGCTGTTCTGTTCCCATGTTGTTGCAGTATATTAATAACTAACCTCGTATTGTGGATGAATGATCTCAGTTGTTCTCCTGACTGAAGTTTGGCCGTCACGTTAACTTTTATCGAGTGGAAAAAAAGTTGGCGTTCATCCTCCAGCTTCACTGTGCTAATGTTATGCTAACACAGCTGTGTCGCTAGCAATCACGTAGCACATCATTATATACCAGGTAGTCCAACTTCAGTAACCCTACAAACGCCACTGCTGTTTAGTTTTCTGTCTTCATTTATGTTGGAAGTGACAGCAGAGCTGTACGTTTGAATTAGTTTCAGAAATCTCTGTCAGAACATGGTATGAAATGTTTAGGTGGAAACTAGCGAGCTAACTTCCTGCTAACTGTTAACTCCGTTAAATTTAATAAATTCTGTTTTCATGGATGTTAAAATTAATTGTTACACCTGGTAAAGCAGCAACGCTGATGATTTTATTAACCCCTGGAGAGTCTTAGGGTCGATTTGTGGCTCTAGGTCCGATAGTGTATGCATTTTTCTAAGACCCCCCAGGGGTTAAAGATGAAAGAATTTAGACCGTTTTTAACTCTCAGTGTTTGTTTGACTTTGGGACCTGAAGCTGACGGAGTTTTGGACCCAGATTACTCCGCGAAGCTCCTCACTACGGCAGCCGTAATGCTCTGACGAGCCATCAAGCAGTGCTGCTTACCAAAGTTGTACTAAGACATTTTTAACAGATTTCTGCAGCCAAAATCGGTTCGAGGTCAGTAAGCACAACCAGAATTCATACATAAGGAACTCTCGATTTTTGAGAAATGTAAAGGATTTTAAGTGTGGAAAACACGTTATACAGAAGAAAAGAATATATGGTGATATATATCGTTACTGCAAGTGCTTCAAATTTTAGGCCATATCGCCCAGCCCTACCCTGCAGGAGATTGCAGAGGTTCCTGTTTTCATTTAGAAGTTCTACTGGCCATGTTCTAGGTGTCCTTATGATGATTATAGTGATGATTTATGTAGTTTATATGGATACTAGGCAGGTTCTAGGTGTGGTCCTTTAGGAGGTCATACCGGTCTCTGGGGTCCTGGGAGTGCTTATGGTGTTGAGAGTTTAAAAAAACAGTTTTCAGAGCTTTTTGTACATTTTTGTTTTGTTTTTTTTAAAACGAATATAACTGTGGACTGTTGGACATCCTTAATGATTCATGTTAAACTAACAAAGGCCCTGACAGGCTGCTCTTACCTACACTAAATGTTTTTGTTCTGTAATAAGTAAAGCTGACGGGGGATGGTCAGTTTGCTACGAGCAGGTTGATTAAACATGAAAACTGTGATGAAGTCCGTCTGTGTTCGTGTTATGAATGAAGCCGTTGTGTGTGAATGAATACTCACTCTGTTTCACTTCAGAAGATAAGAGCTGAAATCATTCAAAGGCAGAAAAACAAGATGCTGATTCTTCACTCTCAGACAGAAACACACATCAGCCGCGGCTCCTCATCTGCATCCTCAGATGATCGTAAGAAAATGTGATTCACATGTAAAAGTCAGTTTCATACAGAACAACAGTCTGACCGCACCTGTTCAGGTAAACGTTACCTGCACAAATATGCAGATGTTCTGGCCTTCACATGTTAATTGATGACAGGATGCAAACTAATAAGCTCCTGGCTCCTGCCAATATTTAACTCAGAGTAAACACAGTTACATCACCTGAATCCCTGCTGTGCACAGGAACTCGAAAAGTTCGTTGTTTCTTTTTTCTTATCACATGAGAGAAAACTCATTATTGAAACTCAGAGAAGAGAAACAAAAACAAAAATGGATCTCATCTCAGCCAGCTTACACTCAGACTGTGGGAGCAAACCCACCTGCCACAGTAACAATCTGCCCAAACTCATAGTGAATCCCAAAATCTCAAAGAAATGATGCAAATATGCAGTTTTTAACATCCAGGAAACTATTTACACCCCTTCAGTGCTCAGATATTTTTACATTTCAGAATCATGAATCACATCTGGATTCATGTAAATTGCAGCTGTGGGTCAGACGCTCACTTTGCTGTATCCACTTATTTTTATCAAAACTAAAGTAAGACCTCGTTTTTCCTGGGCTGGTTCAGCTGCTGTATCAGCTCCAACCAAGCAGCCGATAGTGTGGTTGAACCCACACCGTCCATATTCAGTCTCTTTCTGAGAGACATAAATGAGTGTTGGGGTCGATTTGAAGGAGAAGACGGCCAAAATCAATCACTCCACTCAGAAACGAAGGAAGAACATTCTTATTATTATTCATCTCCCCCCATCTCAGCATCCTCCACTGGCACACCAACCCTGTGGATGTCCTCCGTCACTACATCTGTGATCCTCCTCTTTTCCTCCGGCCCCAGCGTCACCTCCACACTCCTGTCTTTCCTTTTCTCTCACTTCCTCCGAACATGCCTTCCCCCCACCCTCCTCCTCGGCCTTCAGTAAACCGCAGCATCATTTCCACCGACACCCTGTTGAGCACAAGCACACGAGGCAGCCCTCCCATCCACCCCAGTACCCCCCCGACCCCCCATGGCTGGACCAAAATGAAGAAAGAAAATGCAAGACTGAGATATCAGTGTCCATATTTTGGATGAGAGGGTGGAGTGGTAAGCTGGAGTCCAGGGGTCCAGTTCAGGTGAAGCTGTGTCACCATCCACCTGTCAGTCAAAGAGACCACGCCCCTTAATAATGCAAACTATGACCATCCAATCCGTCCCATAGTTGTTATGAAGGAGGAAAAGGATCCACAGAGACCAAACAGTTTGTGTGTCAGGCTGTAAACATGTTTGTTTCTGCTGCAAAGCTTAAACATTCGAGTCTGTGGACAGACAGACAGACAGAGTGTCTGTTGGCGTGTAAACAGCGACATCAGATACTGAGAGTGTGAGAACAAACATGACTCATGGCCCAGCAGTCAGTTCAACTGTGACTCGCTGTGAGGTCGAGATAAAGTCTGTAAACTCATTTTCCTCCTGGTTAATGAGCTCAAACAGACATCCAGACGATCGTCCGTCCGACTGTCTGTCTGTCTGTATCCAGTGCTGGCCAAGCTGATCTGGGATCTGCAGTCCTTCCTGTCTGTTCTGGACTCAGAGAACCTGAGTTACATCGCTCAGGCTCAGAAGAAATCCATCTCAGAGCTGCTGTCCACGCTGCAGAATCAGGACGCTCCAGGTAAAAACACACCAGTACTCACATTACTGCTGATACTCAGAGTACTGCCAAACCCACAGACACCCGAATAAAAGTGTTTCCTGCTGTGTTTTCAGTGGAAGATGCCGAGTACATGATCATGAGCTGTCCATCATCGTCTCCTAGCAACGAGCTGACAGACACACCTGCAAAAGGTACACCTTAATGCTGCCTTCAAGACACATCGGAATAATGCGAAATACGATTTTCACTCATAAACAGAGCTCACGTAAACCTGCGAATCCTGAAGACTTCATGAAAGCTCTGTGTTGTTGTTGTTGTTGTATCCACAGCTGTCCGGGCCTCTGAGCTGGTCTCAAATCAGGACCTGTCTGCATGGCTGAGGAACGGGGTGAGCATCAGCCTTACTGGTCACACTGGTTTCCACCACTGAGCTAACTGAAGCAACACGTGAAAACAAACAAACAAACAATACAGCAACAATGAAATGTGAATGAAAACTCATTATTAAAAACAACATAAAAAATGTATTAGTTAAGACTGAATATGAATTAAAAAAAGAGTAAAATGTAAGTAAAAAAAATATAAAAATAAAATATAAACACAAACAGTAAACAAATAATAGAAAAATGATGACTAAACTATACAAACACAGTGTGAAGCTGCAGCGTCTATAACAGATAATCGTCCTGCACGTGCAGCTCTTTAATCAGATGATATTTTAATTATCTCTCATTAATTAATTACATGAAGTGGCTGACTGCTGTGCCTGATTAATAAAAACAAGTCCAGCGTGGCGGCTCAAGGTTGGGTCTAAAAATGTGAATGTAGTTTATTATCTGCCTGATAAATAAGAAGTCTTAGTTTATGTATCAAAAAGCTCCGAAAACAGAGATAAAAGTCACAAAAGAGCTTTTATTCTGTTCAGGAGATGGTGGTTAAATCAAACGCACCAGAGTGAGAAACAGCTGCTGATCACACTCCTCGTGATGAAGAGCAGGAGCGACAGGTGGAGGAAAAGTTTCATGTGACAAACACGATGATGTGGACACAAAGTTCTTTACTAGGAAGGAACAAAAATCTGTTTCTGAACAGCTTCAGGATTTTTCTTCTGAGGTCAAAGAGAAGAGAAAGAGAGCAGGAGGAGGAGGAGGAGGAGGAGGAGGAGGAGGCTGCTCTGTGATGTGGGTCAGTAATGACAGACCGAGTCCTCCTGAGGTTTGGGAGGAGACGGCAGCACAACTCTGTGTGTGTGTGTTTTCCATCCATCCATCACGTAGCCCAGATGCTAATCAACCGCCATCGGTGACCACTTCCTCCCTCTGCACAGGTCTGAGCCAATAGGAAGACCGATAGCAAAGAGATCTGTAAACACTGAACTTCCTGTCACTCCCTCTCTCTC